CAAAAATCGGAAGTACGAGAAAAAACAACCCTTTTTTTTTAAAAAAGAATAATAGGTCTGTTTCTGCTGACAACTTTACTGAACTAAAGATTCTTCTTGAAACTAAGGTAAGGAAAATGCCAATAGATACAGTGATTGGAGAAGGCAAATCAGGGCCCAAGTCTTTAGCTACTAAAGGCAAAAGTGTAAGAGAAATCCTCCCAAATAAGTTGAAATTTAATCTACCAATCTACGTTATTAATCAAAAATTACACATAGAAATATTCTAAGGATCAAAAATAAAGCAAACTGTTTCCCTTCATTGTTTTCATTTCTGTTCATATGATCTTCTATTTGTTTTCAAAGTAAATCACTTGTCTCTATTCCTTGTCTTAAGGTAACCAAGAATTTTGATTGTGATTACTTTTAATTTATTCACACTCACTTAACTTCTATCAACTTTATTATAAAAATGAATAAATGAAAATAATATATAAGAAAAGCATAATATAAAAAATTAAACCTTTGTTTTTGGAATATTCTTTCAAAATTCTATGTGCTCTAACTGCTTTATTATAAATTTCAGGCTAGGGGTGCCTGGGTGTCTCAGTGGGTTAAAGGCTCTGCCTTCCTTTGGCTCAGGTCATGATCCCAGGGTCCTGGGATCAAGCCCTGCACCAGGCTTTCTGCTCTACGGGGAGCCTGCTCCCTCCTCTCTCTCTCTCTGCTTCCCTCTCTGCCTACCTGTGATCTTTGTCTGTCAAATAAATAAATAAAATCTTTAAAAGAAATGTTTACACTGGTTAATCAGATTCTGCTGTCATTCTGCTCTGTTTTATTTACCTATGCTATCATGAACACATCTGTCTCTCTCCTCAGTTTATTTACTTATTATTTCATCTTCAGGTTAAATTGCAGTTTCTACTACCTTAATTCTTTTCATTCAATGTTGTTATAATTTTTACTTTTCTTTGTCATGGGCTAAGCTTGCTAAATGTCAAAATAGTGAATACAAGGGATATCTTAGTGAAATCTTACATGATAAAGAAAAGTTGAAGTAGAAAAGAGGTATAGGAAATAGTTTAAGAAGCACTAAAAATACATTGACATTGGTTACAAAAGTGCATGGGTGTTTTAAAGACAGAAAGATCTTTGTGTATAGTGTCTTTATAGTTAACTAAATAATAATAACCTCATTCCTCATAGTAGTTAGTAAATTCAAAGTCACTCTTAAAAAGAGTTATATGTCCAGAGTCTGACAATAATACTTTATATATTTGCTTGTTAAAAATACTGTTGATAAAATATTTAAAGGTATACAGTTTGATAGGTTTACTAAAACCTGTTATATCTATTTTAGTTATGATAAACTTGCCATCTTATTTAAAAAGCTCTAACAACTAAAAATGCCAGTTAAGTGTTTTTCATTGGTGGTTTGCCCCAAGTTTTTAGAGATATATATGCATTGGTTGACCAGTTAATATTACACAATGATAAACATAATCTATTTAAATTTCAGAAAGGTAAGAGGCAATGCATTCCTGTGAATGCATGCAAACTTTTAGAGTCAATTTTCCATTTGGTTCTTAACACGTATTTATTCAATACCACCTAATGGGCTCTGATCCTAAGGCTCAGTCTCCAGCAGACTCATTTGCATGGGAGGTGTTCTGGATGCTGCTGAAGAGGCTGGACTTCCAAAGTCAGTCACTTCACTCAGCTGCTGCTTCAGAAGCAGACAAGGGTAAACTACAGTCAGGTCTTCATGCCCCACACCCCAGAAGTCAGCACTGCACTGAGAGTTTAGAAGTCATACTGTTCACCCTCCAAAACACACATTCACAGTCAGTTTGGTGGTTTAAGGTATATAGCATTTAGTAGCATAAAAGTGTAATCAAATATATTTCTGCTAAATGACATATTTTTTGATTTGACACAAGGCATAGACAGAGATGTGCAGCTGCCATGCAGAGTAATTACACGGGGACCGGGAAGATCTCAGTTCACAGGCATGCCTACAGACCATGTTTGCCTTTAAGAGAAAGCCCTGTTGCATGGAGAATTTGCAGACTGCTTTCTTTCTTCATGTCAGAAACCTACTTCCTGAAAACTATTAGTTAGATCTTGGCAAAGAAACTGTATGCGAAAAAGGCAAACTGACAAGAAAAAGAGCTAGAGACTCTCACAAGTGCTACTATCATTATTTAGAAGAGGATAAGACATTTGTGTTTGGAAGTGATGGAAAAGGAAGCTCAAACCGTGGGAGAGTGTTTTCAAATGAAAATACTTCACTTGGTGTAACTGGCATAGAAGTGGATTCCAGTTCTTATAACTACATATTTCTAAGAAGAATTTTAAAGCAGCAGAGCATTGAGAACCTTGAGGTACACAGGTTAATATGGTTGATATGAAAAACAAAACTGCTTTTGTTCCTGCCTAACACTGAGCTCTAGGATTACATAGGGCTTAGAGCTGCTCAATGAGTTAAACTCATAATATATTTTTAAACATGCTCTGATAGAAGTAATAGAACAAATGAATTTGATGTTGATGCTCTAAAAGGGCTACTGTGAAAACTATTCAAAATTTTGTGTCTCAATGTTTCTGTCTTAATTTTTACTAAAGAGGTTGTTTCTTCTAGCAATTTGATGAGAACACCAGAATTAGAAATATGATGTTTTTCAAATTCTCAAACATCTCAATTTTTAGGTATTTAGATTTACTTAATATATTAAGCAATCTGACTATCCCCTGGATGTTTGTTAAAAAATAGAGGGTAAAATGTGTACACATTTTGGCATTCTTTATTTTTACCATATATATGTAACAACTGGGAAGTCACTTTCATTCCATGAAAAGAAAATGTAGGAATCATATCAGGTTGAATATGGACATTTCTTTTTTTTCTTATAATTTTAAAATTTTATTGTTAAGATTTCTTAATCTTATGAGATTTTGAGAAGGTCTTTTTTTTTTTTTTTCAATCTTCATGTTACCTGCTAAATCCCCGGTTTAAAGTGATTCCAAAAATGTGTACAAGATTTAACATTTGACTCTTCTGTGACTCTTGTCTGACACAGAGTTGAGTGCAGGAGTTAATGCTGACACCAGTGGAAACTGTGTGGGGGGATATCTAATGTCACATGATCATTGGCTATCTTTCTTCTGACATGGTCTCTCTGAGAGTCAGTGAATCATATCAGCAGGTACCTCCTAGATCAAAGCAGAGGTGAAAGGCCCGCAGAGGCAGGACATCGCAGCTCTGTTCCTGACCAAGCTATTTGTCTGGCTGGTGAGATCCCAAGGCCTGGAAGCAGGTATTGCAGCCAGAGAACTTGTGTGCCCCATGCCTGTGCTGTCCCATTGTGGAGCAAAGAGGGATAAAGTAGAATCTGCTACAGGAAAGCTATGTGTGAAGTTGGGGGGCGGTTTGGAATGTTGCATAAAATAATTGACTTTGGGATCTGCATTAATTCATAACTAATGTTAACTTTATTCTGCAAATGAAGACATGAATGGATCAGAATGAGAATGGGTCAGAATATTTCCTACGCAGAATATGATTTTTTAACCCTTAGATATTTCAAGGAATATTTAATTCTTTTTAGACAATATAAATCTGTATTTTTTCCCCTCTTATCTCTATGGGTGCAACCTAATTAGTTAGCAATGCATTATCCAAAGCTTAAATTCTCTCACCTTTCAGTTAGGTGTAATAAAAAAAAAGTTTTTTGTTTTGAGAATATTACTATTTTTCTATTATAACATATCCAGTCTTATATTCATAAATTTATTTTCTTGTTATTTTTTAATACAGATATTCAATTAAAATACTATTAAACAGAAACCACTTAGCTAAGAAAACATGACAATGAGACAAGATTTACTTTATGATTTGGCACTTTGGTAGAGAGAATATTCATTGAAAAACAAATGGCAATGTGTTTATACATTATATCAGTATAGATAATTGTTCAAATAAAGTTTCCTGATATTATAAAGTAATTAAATAGTAAAATATTAAGGTATTTTGAAAACCCAGGAATCAAATCTATTTAGGAAAAAGAGTTAACTGCTTCTTTCTACCTTTACCAAAAATATTCTTTTGGGAAAATGTTTTCTCCTCTTTAATCACTATGTATTTATTTATATTTTAAGGGAGAGAGTTTATTAAGTACTTTTTGAAAGGTATTGTTTATACAAGTTAAGTTGGGTGAAGGATCATTTATTTGGATAAGCATACACAAGCTCTCTCTATGTAATATACATGCTTGAACTAAATATATATTTGTATATTCTACATGTCTCAGAGACTCAGTTTTCTTCATTTCCAAACAGAAATGAAAGCACACCTGGTGCAGCATAGTTGTTAGAATGACATGTTACGCCTCCCTCATTTAATATCACTTCCTAAACTCCCTTTCCTTGAATCCCATGATTTCCACATTTTCCTCACACTTGGAAATGGAGTCATGACCCAGTGAGTATGAGGTTCATGTGAATGAATGAGTGGGGTCTGACATAAGTAAGGTGGCAGGTACAGAGTCTGTCAAATTGGGGCATGGGTGCCCTTACTAAAGAGGGAGTTACTCTTTTTGGTGTCAATATAGTACCCATTGGGGCATAAAACAGGCACTAAGTGATAAACATAATTTTTCCAAAGATGTTATAAATCTAGACTTTTAGGTGAGTGTGGAATATAATGTACATTTTTAAATTTTGGCAATTAATTCAATATTTATAAAAAACAGTGAAAGCTTAGCATAACATGTCCATAAATATAATGGGCCTTTATTTAATTGTGTAGGATCACTGTTGTAAGTCATTACAAAAAGCAATGATAAAAATAATTTTCTTTCTAATGTTCCCAGATAATATTTACTTTGACTTGCTTATTTCAGATGATCATGCTTATCATTCTTTTAGCTGTCCCTGTTACTTCATGATAGATCATGTTATTTTCATGCCTCATGAAACATTGCATAGGATTTGAGTTGTGTTCTTTGACTGCGCCCTCAAAAATGAGCGAGGAGAGAGTGACATATGCAGACATTAAAGTACCCAATTCAAGGAAACAGAAGGGTAAAAGAGGTCCAGGTGATAAAATGAGAGGTAAAGGTTTTTCGGTTTATTTTGTTTTCTGAAAACATTATGATGTCAAATAAGAAAAAGTGCAATCATAATAATCATGTCTATACTTATTTGATATTTTATGTCTGGCTCTTTATATATCAATGGGGATATTTAAATGTCATATTCAATGAGTTTTGTTATCGCATTGAATAGGGCCATTCATTTTAGTTCCAAAATGAATTTCCATTTCCTTCTAATTCTGGAGGTTTTGTTATGCTCAATGCTTACTATATATTTTGTCTTCTGATTTGTACAGGATTTCCATGTTATATTGTTGCATTATCCCTGGGAGTTATGTGTGTTATCCTCCTGCTGGCAATCACAGGCTTAAGATCTATATGTGAGTATTGGACATATACAGTTCTTATGAGAGCAATGAGCCAGAGAGATAAATGATATGTTATAACTACTAGATTTCTGCAGAGCCCGTGTAAATCATAAAGTCCTATACAGATATTAATAATGGTGTTGATGATAATATTGATGATGATGATTTTATTATTTGGCTGTCAGTTTTTATGCTACACAAAAGAGGGTACATAATAGTTGTAATAGCACAGAATTTGGCTGAAATGTATAGTGTAGCTTACATATATATTCCTCCTTATATTTTGTGTGGAAGGAGGTTTTCTATATAATCAAAGAATTGGAAAAAATCTTTACTTGGATATTACATTCCTTATCATACTGTAATACTGCTAAAATCACAGAGGAATAAAGGTTGATCTATTTTCTATATCACTTATATATTTCATATCAGTTCCTTTTTTTAAAAGATTGAGCAGAAAGCAGAGGGAGAGGGAGAAGCAGGCTTCTGGCTGAGCTTGGAGCCCCCATTACAGGGCTTGATCCCAGGATCCTGGAATCATGACCTGAACTGAATGGAGAAGTTTAACCTACTGAACCACCCAGGAGCCCCTATTGCATGTCAATTTGTACAATATCTATACAACACCTCTTTTTAATATCTTTTCTCTGATGTTTATTAAATCTTTGGTTCATTCTTTCAACACAATTTTGGCTCAGGAACTATGTATACTAAGGACATAGGAATTTTAAAAGTCAGTTCACAATGAGCTTAGTTTAAAGGGGAAGACTTTTTAAGTGAAGCAGTTTTTAAAATAAATATTATCAGTGATGGGGTAATGGCATGAAGATATCAGAGGGATGGATAGTCCCTGAGATCAAGAAAGTTTTCCTCCAGGAGATAATAATTGATATGATAAGAAGGTTAGGTAGGACTTAATCAGGAAGGTCAGGGAAGAGAAGACTCATCTAGGCAGAGAATAACATGAACAAAAGTACACACTGATGTGTGAGGAGATTTAAGTTTCTGAGCAAATAAAAGAAGTAGCTAGAAACAGAATGGCTAGGTATATAATTTATGATAACTTTAATATCATGTTAAGCGATTTTAGATTTGTTCTAAAAACAAAAAGGAACTTTGGGAAGATATTACAGAGGGAAAACAGGATTCATGTCCCATGAACATAGAGAGATTTGGGAAAGGTCAATTTGAATAGACTGGAAAGTGGGTGGGGGGACAAGACAGGAGGATATTTCAGGAATTAGGGTTAGTTAGCATGACTGAATTAGTGTCTAAAAAGAAGTGATGAGACATTGGGACCGTTTATGAGAAATATTTACTATGTAGAATTGTTAGGGTATGTCTTTTATTGATTGTGTGAGGGAGAGAAATGAATTAGTGATACCATTTGAGGTCAGGCTATATACTTTGGCAAATATATTCCACTAAATGATACAGAAAACATTAGGCTATGGTGTGTGTGTGTGTGTTTGTGTGAATAATGGTGAGGAGTGAGTAGTTGTGGCGTATCAGTGGAGATGACCAGAAAGAATTAGATTGGTTTGAGTCTTTCAGAGTGAGCATTTGATAGTCGTGGCAGACCATCAGCATGCATATGCTAGGATTATAGTCTGGCGATCAAGAGTGATACCTAGGTTAGAGATATAAACTGGGCTTTCATCAATTAATGTAACAAGTATTGGTAAACATAATAGAGGAAAGCAGAAGCTAGACCATTCTTTACCTTATCAAACTAGAGAGAATAGATTTTCTAGAAAAAAAGGGCAAGGAGGATGATTCTTAGGAAAATTAACATTTAGAATAGGTGGAAGTGAAAAAAACAGTGATGCTTTGGTTAAAGTAGGAGGGAATCCAAAACATTATGACATCATATGGAAGGAGGGTAAAGATAGTCATGAGTTCCAAATGGTATCAGATGATCAAGTAAAATAACGGTCAACAGTATGCTTACTAAATTTGGCAAGAGAGAGGTCACTAAAGACATTTGCTAGAGTAGATTCAGTTGAATGGTGGGTTTGATCAAAGCCTGATTGCAATGGCTTATACTTCAAACATTAGGAAGCAGAGACAATGAATACAGAAAATTATTTTTTTAATTATGGCAATGCAAAAACTTTACCAAGTTTTGAAAGTATGTGGATCTACATGATCTCATACATTGTAAAGGGACTGTAAGCTGATACAACTCTGGTATTAGCTCCTAAAACTGAACATGAGGGGCACTTGGGTGTCTCAGTTGTTAATGTGTCTGTCTTAGACTCAGGTCATGATCCCAGCATCCTGGATCTGAGCCCCATGTTGGGCTCCCTGCTCTGAGGGAAGCCTGCTTCTCCCCCTTCTACTCCCCCTGCTTGTGTTCCCCTTCTCGTTGTCTCTCTCTCTCTCTCTCTCTTTCTCTGTCAAATAAATAAATAAAATCTTTAAAAAAATAAAGCTTAACATGATGAGTCACTCATTCTCACTGATGACTGGTAGTAGCAGAATTGGAAATTAAGATTCTCAGTTGTGTAACAAACTTTAAAGAATTTTTCCTTTAATACTCACACACTTACACAGAAGTATATTTTATGCTTTTATATATTTTTTTATTTGTGAGTTTTGGGAAGATATTGTTATTTCTCTCAGAGTTGTTTAACTTTCCTTTTGCATACTGGAAGTAACTATCTAAGTTCTTGGTCTAGGTAAATTCAATGAATCAATTACAAGCTTATCCTAGTAGAGAGTCAGTTGATAAATAAATACTGAATAAAAAATATCACCAATGTTGAAATCTTTATTTGAAGAGTAGATGACATTGAAACTGGTTAATGTTTTATTTCAAGTTTATATTTTCCAATTTATATGTTTGTACGTTTTATATTTTGTGTTTTATAAGTTTTATATACTTAAAAATGGATAGCAAGTTAAATTTTTATTTTAAAAAATCTGTTTCATTTTTGATACTTCAAACTATTTTAAACTACCATTTTCTCTGATTGTACTTTCATTTAGTCAACAACATTCACTATGCCATTTAGAATTAGAGCAAGCAGCAAGTATAATAATGTGATGTATGAAAGGCATTCACGACTGTAATTTTATAATATGGATTGAAGTTTTTCAGAAATGTCCTGCACACACAATGCAGAATAAGAATGACACGAAAGAAAAAAATGCTTCCTTAGGAGAGGTTGAAGATGACTCAATTTTACCTCCTATTATAGGTATGTACTGAATACTTATACAATTTTTTTAATGGCATTATCCACTCTGTCCCATTTCAATACAGAATTTTAAAACTTTATGTTGTGTTTTGTCAGGTCCTTTAATTTTGCTCACCTTTTTCTTTTTTCTTTTTTCTTCTTCTTCCTTTTTTTTTTTTTGAAATCAAATCCATTTTCTTTATTATAGCTAATAGAACTCTTGACTTTCACAAAGTCATGTGATTTGATTTATTTGAGTAATTCACGTTTTGGATGACTTTTCGCCAGTACAGATCTCTTGGAATTAAGGGTATCTGCTCCACATGGCTGCAGTTTATTTGTCCTTGTGAAGTCAAAATTTCTCAGTGCAATTCTAACGATGATCTGAGGTCTGTCAGAGACAGTCCCAGGACCCACAGTTTGGCCAAGGAGCTATTACCAGCATTAGACTTTTGGGAAATGGGAAAACCACCTATTTTTTGGTTGTTCAGCCTGAAGTAAGCCAGAAATATGTGTAAAGTGCAGGTCTCTAAGAGGTCTTGAGGTTGAAGATCATGGTGGCTTTTGTTTTCAAGATGAAGACTATGAGTCATTTCAAGGAAATTGGCACTGCTGTGGAAAAAGCTGTTACTATTTTTCAGAAGAAGAGAAAACTTGGGAGGAGAGTCAGAAGTCATGTGAAGTCCTGAGTTCTAGTCTCATGAAGATTGATAATAAAGCAGAGCAGGTATGTCTGCTTTATTAAACTTGATTAAATGCTTTATGAGAAGTCCTATGTCTTGAGTTAGGATCATTGTTTCGACTTTCCTCCCATATTATTTGGCCACTTTGTTTTGAAGCACTTGTTAATCAGTGTAGATTCTCTAAAGAGGAGATGAAGGTGTAACATGGACCTAGAAGAACCCCTGTTTTATTTACTTATTTTTTAAGTAGGGTCCAGCCCAGCCTGGAGCCCACATGAGGCTTTAACTCATGACCCTGAGATCAAGACCTGAGATGAGATCAAGGGTCAGGTACTTACCCAACCAAGCCACCTATGCACCCAAAGATCCGTTGTTTGAAAAATGAACAGGAGAGCCATTTTACTGTTAGTCTTTTTATTGTATGTGTTGCATCTTCACATTTTAGTAAACATTAGAGAGTTAGTTTTTAGTTTCTCAGGGCTACTACAGGGCAAAAGAAAAACTACCTTCAATGGTGTGAGCAATGTAAAGTGATAATTCTCATTATCTGAGTTCTGTTGTTCTTCTTGTTCAGTATTTGGAAGGAGTCACACTTGTAAGGGAAGGTGAATCTCTCAGTTTCATGTATGGCCATGGGAAAAAGGATGAAAAATAGAGACTGAATATACTGGAAAGATTCTTTAAAAATGAACCTTTATTTTACTTTTTTTTCCATTTTATTTCTTTTCAGTGTTCCAGAATTCATTGTTTATGCACCACCCCCAGTACTCCATGCAATATGTGTCCTCCATAATACCCACCACCAGGCTCACCTACGCACCCCCCACCCCCAAAAAAGCCCTCAGTTTGTTTCTCAGAGTCCACAGTCTCTCATGGTTTGTCTCTCCCTCCGATTTCCCCCAACTCAGTTCCCCTCTCCATCTCCCAATGTCCTCCATGTTATTCCTTATACTCCACAAGTAATTGAAACCATATGATAATTGGCTCTCTCTGCTTGACTTATTTTACTTTTAATCCAGAATGGCAGAGGAAACGTATCTTTTCTAGAAGAGACAATCTAGATCAAATTTGCCATTCCTTATCAAGTTTAGGACTATAAAGTCAATTGAATGGATTCTGTAGATTTTCTTCTAATAGTTCCATTTAGGCACCAAATTCCAGTTACACTGTTTAGTCTTAGCAATGTTATTTCTAATAGTATCTTGTGAAGGATGAGTGAAAAGCCCTATGTTTGAAAAACGGCAACATCACTCAGGGGTGCCTGGCTGGCTCAGTCAGTGGGGCATGTGACTCTCGATCTCAAGAGTTGTGAGTTCAAGCTCCATGTTGGGTGTAGAGTTTACCTAAAATAACAACAACAACAACAACAACAACAATAATAATAATAGTATAATGATTAAATAAATAAAACAAAAAGCCCTATGTTTTCTTGTTTATAAAATTCTTATTGAAATAAAAATATGAATAAATCACTTTTACCTATAAGAAACAGATGAACTAGAAATCACATTAAGGAGTCAAATTTTAAAAATCCACCTACATCTTATTAATACCTTGATTCATTTCAACCTCAGTGGTTGTCAGTCTGTTTTGAAATGATTTGTTTTCTTTTCTCAGAAATTTATTTGTAATCTGTACTCTCCCTGTAATCTGTAATTTCCAATTCAGTGTTCTTCAGTTTTAGTCCTACCATTGAAGTTTCTAGGCTTCAAAGTTTCAGTGAAACTTCTTATATTTTTATCCCTGTATCTCCGTTAACTAATCTAGAGCCTTTGAAATTCCTTGTGACTTCTGTCGTGGGTTATAGCAAAGCTCTGTTGCATAGTCTATAATCTGATAGACTTGTTGTCAGGACCTACCCTGGAATACTGATGCACTATAGAAACCAGAGACAGACTTTGCTGCAGAGCAGCATTGCTCTGACAGTAATGGTTTAGGATTTTAGTCTTTTGCTATTTTCCAAAGTCTAGAAGTATAATGAAAGCAGTGCCTTAAATCCATTGAAGCAGAAAAATGAGATTGGCTTTTATACAAGTAGTTATACCTATAAATCTAACAAAAAGTGAAAGAATCGATGAACATTTAATTTTAGTGTTTCTTCAGAGACCTGGAAATGACAAAGTATATTATATTTTATGTAATACTCATCCATCTTCCCTACTCTAAAAGATACACTATTGAGATTTTTTCTTATGTAATTTTATTATAGTGAAAAGAATATTGAAGTCTGTGTGTGTGTGTGAGAGAGAGAGAGAGAGAAGAGAAAGAAGAGTGGGAGAGAGACAGAGGGAGAGGATTTGAGAGAGAGAGAGAGAGAGAGAGAGAGAAAGACGGAGAGGTAATAAATACATTGCTTTTAGGAAAGAACATTTATTTTTTGCTTTACATTTACCTTTTTAAAATAATTTTTACTTTTTATTAACATGTAATGTATTATTAGCCCCAGGGGTACAGATCTGTGAATCGCCAGGTTTACACACTTCACAGCACTCACCATAATACATACCTTCCCCAATGTCCATAACCCAACGACCTCCCTAACCTCCCCACCACCCCCATCAGCAACAGTCAGTTTGTTTTGTGAGATTAAGTCTCTTTTGGTTTGTCTCCTTCCTGATCCCATCTTGTTTCATTTATTCCATAAGGGAACATTTGAAGTGAATAAAATATGCCACAGTGTGGATAAGCTTCATCCATTCTCTAGATGATGAGAATTTGGGTTGTTTCCAGCTCTTGTTGTTATGAATAGTCCTTCATGAAACATTCTGAGACATGTCTCCCATGTATCTTCTCTCTTTTTTTTTTAAAGATAAATCATCCTATGAGTGGAATCATTGGTCAGTAGGATCTGTACAAATTCAATTTCATATGAGAATTCCAGATCATTTTTCAATATGATTTTTTTTTCAGTATGATTTTAACATCAGTTTTAAAGATAGCTTTGATCTTTACTATACCACAAACTTGGTGTTGTTATTTTTACTTTCTGCCAATTGAATAGTTGTGAAATATCTCCTGATCTATAGTGAGCTTGGCTTTTTTCTATTTATTGGCTATATGCTACATTTATTTGAAATGTGTTTCTATGTTTTGTCCATTTTTTTCTTACTGGATAATTTTATTTTGATATTGCTTGATAGAAATATGTGTTTGTTCTCTAAGATACTGCACATGTATCCAGATTTGAAGCTTGTATTTTCATATTCTTTAAGGTAGAGAGAAGTTCTAGGTTTAGTACAATCCTATTTACCTATCTACTTTATCGTATGTGAAGTTTTTTTAAAAATCCATCATGTCCCTTTCTGGGTATCTTTCATTCAGTCATAAAGAGTTGAGTGATTTGTTCATTAAATCCTTTCCATATCCATTTCTTCACTGAACATAGAGAAATTAGTCTGCCTTCTCCACTTATCAGAGTGGCATTGGAAGATAAATGTGTCCGGTATTTTACGAGTCCTCTGTGGGTGAGGTATTTTCAGTGATGTTATGAATAATACCTAATTCTCCTTTCCCACAGAACTTCATTCAATCAAAAATAAGGTACAATTACTGGATTGGATTGTATAAAGTAGGAGCTAAGCATCCCTGGAAGTGGTTGGATGGCACATCTCTATCTCAGATGGTGTAAGTTTTCATGTCACTGTTTTTCATTCCCTCTCCTGCTCAGGAACTGCCCGGTAGATTATAGGTCAAGAAGAGGAAAGGATCCTTGGGGACTTAGGGAATATCTTGAATTCCATGTGATCTCACTTCTCAGCTAGGCAACCAAATGCAAATCTCAGGCCTCCAATAGACTCAAAGAGCATTATTTATTCCTATGTTCCTCAATGGAGGGTCCTTCCAAACATGGTAAAGAGACATTTTGCTTTTGTATCTTTCTCTTGTATGTTCTGTGGTACTAGCATGTTCACTAGTTTGGGTGAAGGAAATGAAAAAAGTATAATGAGGAGAGAAAAGTCGTATCTAGACCCAGCTCTCTCTGTCAGTGCAACTTGTACCTATTTAGTTGGTGTCATTCAAGAACTAAAAAGAAAAGAGCTTTTTCCGTTAAGTGGCTTGGTAATCTTGCATCTCTAATGTGGTCACTTAGTGTCTTTCATGTTATTACTTCACAGAAGTCCACATAATTTCTGTCTCATTGGTAAATCACATACATTTGTTGGTTGATGTCCAGGAAAAGGAAGTTTAGAAAAGGAAGTAAATGATCTAACTAAATCTAAGTAACATGGGACACAGTATGAGAGACATTGGGTTATTTAACATGTTTGTTGATGGCCTGTAATATGCCAGGCACTGCTCTAGGCATTGAAACTACAGTGATGAATAAAACAGGCCACAGTATCCTCCCCTTATGGATATTACATTCTAATGCAGGCATGATAGTCCTGGTGGGGTTGAATGAGGACCAAACAAATAGGCTAAGTAAATGATATGGCACATTAGAAGAAGATAAATGCTATGGAGTGTTGTGAAGTCTCTTATTTTTTTGCTATATGACAGTTGTCTTTTGTGTATGAAGGTAAGAGAAAGAGATTTCACTGTTTTAAATGGGATGGTCAGAGACAATCTCCTGGAGAAATATTTGTACAGTATGTTGAATGAACCAGCCATTTGGATTACCTGTGGGACTGCTCCCTAATAGTAGACAGAGCTGGTGTAAAGACCCTGAGGTAGGAGTGTATTTAACATGTTTGAGAAAATAGCAAGAGGGCCTACAATGCTAGAACAAGGTGAACAAGGGGGTGGGGGAGATGTAGGTTAGAGGCTTAATGACATTGGGAGTGTGTAGGACATCAGAAAAGTGTAAGAACTTGGATTTTTTCATGAAAGCATGAGAAGCTATTAGAGGGTTTTGAGCAGAGGAGGGACAACAACAGGCTTCTTGTTTTAGAGTGCCTCTGGACTCTCTTGAGATTACTTGGTGTGTGTTCTTTTGGGGGAGGGAGCAGGGAGTCTAAATGAGGATGCAGGAGCCTGCTGAAGAGTCTGTTGCAGTTATCAAGGGGAGATGTCCTGACTTGATGATGATTGGTAGTGTTGATGCTGGTGTAAAGTGGCCAGATTCTACACTTCTTTCAAAGATGTGTGAAAGAGAGACAAATCAGGGATGGCTCCAGGGTTTTTTGTCCAGAAGTTGTAAGACTGATGCTGCTATTAATGTTACTAGAGCATAATTGGAATTCAGTGTTAGATACAATTTGAATAACTCTATTCAACATTTAGCTCTGTATACACGTGTCACACGGGGCGTTGTGATACATGATCATGAAGCTCACATGAGAGGTCAGTGCAGGGAATGCAGATGTTGTACACAGCAGTGCACAGTGAAATAAGTAAGAGACTGGTAGTGATTCTCAGGAAATCTAAGGCCCTGGACACCCGAGTGTTTAAGATAATGATAAGATAAAGGTGAGATGAAGATAACCAGAAAATATCATTGAGAAAAGTGCTTCGAGATACAAAAGTAAAACCATGAAGGGACGGGTAGGGTAATGGAATCCTTGTAAAGGAAGTACTACTGAAGTAATAGAATTTAAAATGTTGGTGAGTTCTCACTGATAAATTTTACTACTTGAAATTGTTACTTCTTATCAGTTACATTCATGGACACTTGAAGGGAAATTAATACTAAGTAACATTTTTTTTCCTATATGCTGTAGCCTAGCCCCTAAATTTAAAATCCAGGTACCTTATTCTCATAGCCCATTTCACAACATTTGAACATTTTGTTTGGTGTGGAAAACAGTAAGCTGAGTCGGGAAAAGTGCACTCTGTTTTAACTGCATATAAGCACCCTGTATGATTAAAGTGAGGCTAGCATTTTAAATGCATACTCTGTGTACATTAATCTGAATCATCGTAAACTGGAATATTTTTATATGTAGTTACAGTATGTCACATAATGAATTTATTATATTTGGTCAATTTCCAGGAGTTTCAGGAGTTTTAGAAGAAGAATTTTTCAAGTGTACCTGTCTAAGCTATGTATACATCCCAATCTCTACTAGTCTTTCTACTTCCCTATCTCCAAATGTCCACTCACATTTCCATTAGTTTTAGATACAATTACACTTCATAATCTTACAGCTATATGTCTGTCACAGGATTTGTATGTCTACTGAAATCACTGCACCTATGTTGTAAATTTGTGATAAATTTTGCCTGACAAATGATTTCTAAAATAAATATATTCTCTGATGCAGGAATTTCCAGCAGAATTTATTGGATGTAAGATGTGGACACCTCAAGCCATCAACTATTTCTACTGCTGATTGTCAAAAATACTTTCGTTACATTTGTGAAAAGCTTTTCACTGGCCCTTGTTATTAAAAGAATTACTGTCATCAAAATTTTAATATTTTCTTTCTTTAACAGCTATTAGGGAAAAAACTTAGGGTATTCACTCAAATTGGTTTACTCTGCATGATTTATTAAGGGTAATGATCTTTCAAACATTCCTTGGCAAGGTTAAAACACTAAGATTTATTAATAGGAAAAGTATACATCCAAAATATAAGTTCACTGTTTAGAAATTTCAAAGAACCAATCCATCAGAGAATGTGAGACAAATTCATTTTGATTGAGTGTAAGGTTTTACATTTAAAAATAATTAAATGATCCTGATACAAGTAGGTAATTCATACATTCACATTGTTCAAAATACAAGAGATACATAATGATGAACAAATTCTCTTAACCTATCTTGTTCCTTATTCACCTAGTTCCCTTTTTATAGGCAAACATGCAATAGATAGTATTCTGAAAATATTCTAGGAATGTACAGCCATATGCATGCTATCTGCTAAACAAAATGTTACATAACTACAATAGTATTACTTTTTTACATTTTTGTTTAAAAATATATTGTGCAGTTTGTTCCATTTTAGTACATAGGAGCTACATCAGTGTTTGTAAGTAGCTGCAAATGTTTCACTAAGCAGATTTATCTACAAATATTATTTATCTAAAATTTATCTACAAGTTTTATTTCCAGTGGATATTTAGGTGTGTCCCAGAGTTTTACAGTGGTAGAAAAATGCTAGAATGAATAGTACTTAACACAGTATCATTTGCCATATATGTATATGGCAATATATATAGAAGTATATTTAAATATATTTATATATATGGTAAATCTCTAGCAGTGAAATCTCTGTATCAAATGATGTGTACATTAAATTTTTAATAGGCATGTAATATTTCAGTAGAGGTTGTATACCTATCATCTCCACACAGCAGTATTCAAGGGTTCCTGCTTACTCACTTCTTTATCACCATGTGTCATCAATCTGTTTGATGTTGCCAATAAAATCTTCACCAGTATAATAGGGGTTATCTTGTATCATTTTAAATGTACAATTTCCTATTACGTGTGAGGCCAGCATCTCTTTCTGGTATTTCTTTAATTTAAACTATCTGTCTGTGTCTTTGTAGACTGATATCCTAAACACAATTTTGAGCAAAGAAACCAGACACCAAGTAGTTTATCCTATAAAATTCCCCTATTTATGAGGTTCAACACCAGGTAAATCTAATCTCTGTGATTAGAAATTAGGACAGAAATTCCTGCTGTGTGGATTTATTCCTAAAAGGAACAATAATAGAGAATGAATACTATTTGCTATGGTGCAGAGTTATTCTTGGAAGGAAACACCGTCCAAGGGACAATTCTCAGGTGCTGATAATAATGGGTGTAATAATCTGGGTGCTGGTTATGTGGGCGGTATATTTATTCCTTCTGCAGCCATGACAAGCACCATAACCTGGGTGTCTTTGAACAATATACATACATTTTTTTTTTCATAGTTGTGGAGGCTAGCAATTTAAAGTGAAGTTGTTAGGACCAAGTTCCATTTGAGACTATTTTACTTGTTTGATATTTATTTATTTACTTATTATGTTAGTCACCATACAGTGCTCCCTTAGTCTTTGATGTAGTGTTCCATGATTCATCATTTCCGTATAACGCCCAGTGCTCATTGCAATATGTGCCCTCCTCCTTCCTTGTCTCTTCCCAGTTTCTGTCGGTTGTGGGCAATTCTTTTTTTCTTCTTTTTTCTCTGTATCACTCCAATCTTTGCTTCTGTTATCACTTGGCATTCTTCTTCTGCGTCCCTGTTAAAATATCCATCTCTTTATAAGGAGACTCTCAGGCCTCTCCCTGAGGACCTCATTTTAACTTGATTACATCTGTGAAGACCTTATTTCCAAATAAGTTCATATTCACAGGTAATAGGAATTATAATTTCAGCATTTTTTAATGCCTTAGTTTCTTGTGGTTTTGGTGTCATTTCTAAATGATACTTCTAAAAATCCATAACGTTGCCAAAGCAGAGATTTAATGGCTTTAGGTTTTATGATTATGTCTTTAATACATTTTGAGCTAATTTTTGTGACTAGGTTAAGATAGGGTCCAATTTCACTATGCTGCACATGGTTATCCAATTTTGCCCACACAATTTATTGAAGAGACTTTCATTTTTCCAATGACTCTTCTTGGCTGCTTTGTCAATATTATTTGTCCATATGTACATAGGTTTATTTCTGGGCTCTGGGTTCTGTTCCATTTGTCTATTACTATGCCAGTACTATGCTGTTTTGATTACTATAGCTTTGTAGTATAGTTTA